CCGGCCTCACAACCGCAGACCATGTGTAACCACACCAGCCCAGGATCTCCACATCAAACATCTTCACCTCCAAGATTGTCAGAGACCAGCCACCCGGACAGCTGCTGCAACAATCGGTTTGCATAACCCAAGAATTTCTGCACAAACTGTCATGAACCGTCTCAGGGAAGCTCATCTGCATGCTCGTCGTCCTCATCGGGGTCTCGACCTGACTGCAACTTCGCACAGCCATAGAAGAGGAGTGGACCACAGGCCACAATCAACAACCTGATCAACTCTATTCGAAGGAGATGTGTTGCACTGGTGGCCACACCAGATACTGACTGGAGTCTGTTTCCCCCAATACAGTGAAACTGCACATTTTGGAGTGGCCTTTTATTGTGGCCAGTCTAAGGCCTTTTATTGTGGCCAGTCTAAGGCACACCTGTGCAATACCCATGCTGTCTGAGCGGCCTCTTGATATGCCACAGCTGTGAGGTGGATGGATTATCTCGGCAGAGGAGAAGTGCTCACTAACACAAATATTGTTCACAAATCTGTCAAAATCTGAATGAAATAGGCCTTTTGTGTACTTAGAGAAAGTCCAATCGCTGATATTCCCTTCAGTCGTCGATATGCGATCCAGTTGCCAGTCGGAACGAGCCTAATCATTTGCCTCCTCGTTACTGAGAATGTGAAGCAGACAGGTTTTTAAGAAGCTGACTTTAAAGTCTAAAAAGACGTTAAGCAGTCAGAGCGTGACGACGAAAAGATTAATCCAGAGAGATGGAAAATGTCGATTAGATGCTGAAATGACAAACAGACGTCATGATATTTAGACCCAGTGGTGCTTCTGATGCCTCGCAAATGGACTGTGATTTTTAAACTGGAGAAGCAGATGATTTCTGTTGTGAAAGCTGGTTTCTATCAGCTAAAGCTCTTTTTATCCTTCACTGATTTCGAGGGACATAGAGGCATTAATAGATCACTGTAATGCTTTAAATGCAGGTGTTAGCCAGGCCTCCCTCTCTCGAATACAACTGGTTCAAAATGCTGCCGCTCGTCTCCAAACTGGAACTTGTAAGCGAATTCTTGCCTCTCTTCACTGGCTCCCAGTTTGTTTTAGGATTTATATTTTTAGAGCCAGCTCCAGCCTGTATCGCTGATCTGTTGAAGCTGAATGCTCCATTAAGGCCTTGAAGGTCTACAGTTACTCCTTGTTGTCCCTAAAACACGGCTCATGAACAGCTGGGGTCAAGCTTTCTCTGTCACGGCCCCGAGAGTTGTAGAGTCTTAAAACTCACCTCCGCTCCTTGACTTTTAACCCAGTTTGAGAGTTGTGTGTTGCTGTTTTATGGTGGTATTTTATCATTTTTTCGTTGATTGATTCATGTCATTGTACAGCTCTTGGATCACCCTGGTTGTTTTTTAAATGTGCTTTACAAAGAAAATTGGATTGGATGAAATAAAAAACTAAACGACTTGAAATGAGCAGAGTTGATCAACATCAAGTCCAGAGAAAAGAGCCCAAAAAGAGTTTCATGGAAGTTGAATAAGTTTGTTTTATAATGTGCTTAAGTCAGGAAAGCTTCTCGTTTGGACGTTTTAACAAACTGTATTCAGTGTAACATATACAGCGTGTGATTCTGTCAGTGGACTCGTTTCCACATTGAAAGACTGAAGACGTAAATCCTAAAGTCAGATAGAGTTGCAGCTGGAACGCAGAGTGACATTTGCACCGGGTTTGGATTTCCAGACTGTTGGACTGTAACAGGACACTGATGGGATGCTTTAACTGTGTGTGTGTGACAGTGACGGTATCACATGTCTCTTCTGCCTCGTGGATTTTCTTAAGTTGAGGTTCTTCGCAGTCATGTGTTTTTAAATCGGCAGCTTCAGCTCAGAGTTTGGACAGTTTGAAGAACAGGAATCATTGTTTTAAAAAGA